CAGGCCGGGCAATGCGGGGGCCACCGACCAGGGCGTCGCGCTGGACCAGGCGGCTTGGCGGCCGCTGCGAGCAGCGCTGAAGGCGGCTCGCCCTGGCGCCTCGCCTCTGTGGGACTTCCAGGTGACAGAGGTGCGGGGCGCTTTCAACAGCGCCGCCGAGGCCCTCGGGCTGGCCACCCAGCCGTCGCTGCACGTCCTCCGCCACAGCGCGGCGAGCGACGACCTGCTCGGGGCGCCCAGGGCCGCGGCAGAAAGGGGGATCACGGACTGCGCTTCCCGCTGATCTACCAAGCGGACCAAGCTGCAGCGACAGGTGAACATGCTGGGAGAGGCGGCGCTGTCTTGCGGACGTCAGGTGGACCGACACCTCGCACCTCATTTCGAGGCGGTCAGTCGCGGCGGCGCGGTCCCCCTGCAGATCCCGCGGCAGCCTCCTTCGACATTGCGTGGGCGGGCGAGCCCCGCGTTGACGCGCAGGTGGGCCGTTCTCTGACGCGCCAGTTGGAAATTGCAATGAAGGCCGCCTCAGTCATATCTCGCTGCATGTGTTTTGGGGTTTGGGGCGTCTATTCGCCTTATCGCGACGCGCCCGCGCGCGCTGGGTTTCGCCCCCCTCAGCTTCGACCCTTCACGGCGCGTGGGGTTCGATTGGTCTCGGCCCGCGGTGCGCCAGAGGATCTTGGGGTGGCTTCGTGGGTTGGTTGTCTTGGGCGTCTGGGCGTATTCGCCTCGGGCCACGGGCCCCCCCCCGCTCGCCCCCGGGCTCTCTGTGGCGCGTTATTTTCGTTGATCCTCGAGTGCCATCGCTGAAGGGTCCCTGTGTTTGCTGGGGCCTGTCCCGCGTCACCTATGCAACGGCATGGTCTCGGCGGCTGAAAATTCAAGGAGCGCTCGCGTCAGTCAGTCGCCTCGCCCTGCGAACGTTAACGCGCGTAAATGATTTATGCGGCCTGGCGGCACGGGTGTGCATGTATGCCTGGTACATTCAATTTCGATTTGGTTTGGCGGGTGCCGGATGTCTCTCGCATGCCCGTCGGTCGTCGGCGCCCGCACCTCTGCCCCCTGCAGCACAGACCGCCTTTGTCACGCAGGATGGAAGCTGGTCGCATAACTGCATGCTGAGCGCTGTGGTCATTGGAATGTCGAGTGCCGAACTGCTATTGCGGCTCAAGCTTCCCGCCCCCCCTGCCGTTCTCGCCCTGTTCTACATGTAATCTCGATTAGGTTTGGTTGCTGCAGGATGTCTCTCGCATGCTCAGCGGTCGTCGGGGCCCGTGCCCTTGCCTCGTGCAGCAAAGAAAGCCTCTGGCGCACAGAATGGATGCTGATCATCAACATCATCACCATCGCCATCCTCATCAACATCATCATCATTCGCATTCTCATTATCAGCCGCATCATGCGTATCAGCATCATCCACATCATCATCATCATCCGCGTCAACATGAACAAAAACATTATCGCCGTGACTAGCATCCTCATCATTACGACGACGATCATCATCATGGGCATCATCATCAGTACCACCAACATCGTTTTCACCTTATTTTTCACATCTGCAGCATGAACATCATCATCCCCGCCAGAAGATAAATCAGCATCATCATGGCCACCATTATCAGCACCAACATTAGCATCGCCATCATCACTGGCAGCACAAACATCATTGTCAAAATCAACGGCATGACCATCAACACCAAAATCATCAGCAGCATCATCACCAGCATTCGCATCATCACTGTCAGCGCCCCCAGCATCACCAACATCGCTTGCCCCAGCAGCACCGACAGCATCATCATCAACATGCTCAGCGTCATCATCATTATCATCAGCGACATCATCATACTTTTCAGCATCATCGCCGGTAGTATCATTGTCAGTTTCTTTTTTCTTACCGCATTTGCACCATCATCATTCGCAACATCATGCCCACCAGTATTATCAGCAACGCCTTCAACAGCATCATCACACCATCATCCTCAGCACCGCTGTCACCATTTAATTAATCACCATCAGCGTCAGCATCAGCAATCGCCATCAGCATCGCATTTAATTAATCACCATCAGCATTTTGATCAGAATCGCCATCATCATATCCATCATCAAATCAGCCGCACCAGTATCGGCACTATAGTCACCAATATTTGCATCACCGTCAGAAACTGCATTAACATCATCAGGACCATCAGCACCATCACCCCCATCAGCATTAACATCATCAGCATCGTCAGCACTAGCAACATCACACGCAGCCTCATCAACCGTACCACTAACAGCAACATGGCTTGCAATCTCACCATCATCGTTACCAACCTCAGCATCATCAACACCTTCCCGACCATCATCATCACCCGCATCATCCTCAACTTTACAACCAATCAATATCTTAGGCGCCATGGACATCATCATCACCACCAGGAGCATCCTCATCAGCATCATCATGGGTGTCCTCATCCGCATCATGAACATAGCCAGCAGCTCAACCATAATCCTTGTTCACGATCTTCAAGGCTACCAGCATCATCATCAACACCATCATCACCAACACCATCATCATGCATCACATTATCATCAAATTCGACATCCGAATTCCTAAACCCCTCCCCACTACCAACGCCACCATCACCATCTTGATTTACAACAACATCATCATCAACACCATCAGCATCATGAACATCAGCACCATCATCAGTAGCATCTTCCGCATCATCAGCAACACACGCACCGTCATCATCATCAATCGCATCATCAGCTTCGTCATCATTCTTGACTCCATGATCAGCATTAACTTCCCCACCATTGCCTATCTATCATCAGCATCATCAGCATCAGGAGCATCAGCCTCGGCATAAGCATCATCACCATCATTATCATCACCATCGTCGTGGTCAGCAGCGTCACCATCATCAACCTCATAATCATCGACATCAACATCATCAGCGCCATCCTCAATATGATTATCATCGACATCAGTCTCATCACCCACAGTCTCCCATCATCGGCATCATCACTGTCAGCTTCTTCGTCACCATCCACCCCATATTTGCCAGCGCAATCGCCGACGTAACCATCATCATCATCATCAGCAGCATCATCATCATTGTCATCATCATCATCATCATCGTTATCACCACCACCCACAACACCATCATCAAGAGGGGAACGACAAATGACATAAACATCAAAACTCGGAGGTCCGTCCGGATTTCCCGGATCCGCGCTGGACCCCCCTCCCTGGCGCGCGGAACGCGCCAGGGGCGGCGCCGGAGGCGCCGCAGGGGCTTCCAGCGGGGATCCGAGAAATCCGCGCGGACCTCCGAGTTTTTATGTTTATGTTTTTCCGTCTCCCGAATCAACACCACCATCATCAGCATCCTCATCATCGCCAACGTAGCCATCGCCAACGTAACCATCGCCAGCGTAACCATCCCATAATTGCCAGCACCATCGCCAACGTAACCATCACCACCATCATCGTCATCACCACCACCCACAACAACATCACCAACACCATCATCTTCAGCATCATCATCATCATCATCATCATCATCATCATCATCATCATCATCATCGTCTTCACCACCACCCTAACCATCATCAACACCACCATCAGTATCATCGTCATCATCATCAGCATCTTCTTTTCCCGACGGGTGGGCAGCTCTCGGTGCCCCGCCCGGATCTGTCGGGGCCCGCGCCGGGCCCCCCGTCCTCGCCCCCGCGCAGCGGACGGTCTCGGTGCCTCGGGCGCGACGCCCCGGCGGCCCCCCGTGCGCCTGGGGAGGGCCGGGGGTTTCCAAAGATTTTTTTTGTTGGGGGGGTGGTCCAGGGGGGTTTTCCAAGAGGGTTTTCCAGGAGGGGTTTTCCAGGGGGGGGTCCAGGAGGAGTTTCCCAGGAAAGGTTTCCCAGGAGGGGTTTTCCAGGAGGGGTTTTCCGGGAAGGGTTTTCCAGGAGGGGATTTCCAGGAGGGGGTTTTGGGGGAGGAGGTTTTTGGGGGAGGGGGTTTTTCAGGACGTTTTTTTTCGTTGGGGGGGGGGGAGGGGGTTTTCTAGGAGGGGGTTTCTGGGGGAGGGGGTTTTCCACGAGGGGCCCGCGAGGGCGAAGTCGGGCCTGTCCACCTACAGGAGGATCCTGGCCAACAAATTCAAAACACCCCAGAATGGGTTTTTGGGGGAGGGGTTTTCCATGAGGGGTCCCCCAGGGTTAAGTCGGGCCTGCCCCTTGCAGGTGGATTTTGTGCGAAAAGTGAGAAATACCAAAAGAATGTTCAAAACATGTTCAAAAATAATCGAAGAATGGACCTCTGACATTTTTTTGGTTTTTTGACTACTCTGGAGCAGTTTTTGAATACGAGAATCCCCCTATATGGGGGACAGGCCCGACTTAACCCCCAGCTTCGCACCCACTGTTTTGACGAGGTTCTGATGCCCGTGGGGGGCTCTCTGGGAAGCCCCCTCCCTCCAAAACCCTTTTTGAAACCCTCCAGGCTGGGGAGGGGAGCGCCGGCCCGGGAAGCGCGCGCGCGGGCGTCCAAGGTTTGTCGTGGGAAGGACGTCGACGACGAGGACGACGAGGATGACGACGTCGACGACGACGACGACGAGGTCGAGGTCGAGGTCGAGGTCGACGAGAGCGAGAGGAAGGAGGGAGGGGCGACGGATGACAAGGGAGGACGAGGCGTAGGAGAAAAGGGAGAGGGCCAATCTCCCCCCTCCCACCTCCTCCCCCCGCCCGCCCTCTCCCCCCTCCCTCCCTCCACATCCCCCACATGCGGGGAGAGGGGCCGCGAATGCAGGAATCCTCTTTTTCGGGCCTGGTCCGGATTTGAACCAGAATCTGGTCTCGAGTCCGAATCGAAAACGCAGAAACGCTGCAAACCTAAACTGTTGGCGCTCCCCGCGGACCGTCGAAAGCTTACGCGTCTGTCGTTTCTCTCTTTTACTCTACAGGCCCACCCCCCCTCCTGGTTCTGTGCTGCTGCCGTGTTCCGCTCTTCCGAGTCACCACGGTGCCCACGAGCACAATTTCTGGCACCACGAGTTCGAGTCGGAGTTCCAGGAGCCCCTGCCGCCCGTGTGGCGGTCGACGCTCTACGCGCCGGAGCCCGACCACGAGGGCAAGCCGACGGTGGACCCCGTGTGCGGCCTCGTGCTCGCGAGCTTCGGCGAGAAGGAGTGGAACGGCCGGTGCAGGGCCTCCATGATCGAGCAGAACAAGTGGTTCTCATGCAGTGGCGAAGCGTCCTGACTCGCCGATCGGCCCACCAGAGAATGTTCCAATAACCATTCGTGGTCTGCACGAGATGTTCTCAGAGCATACATTTCTGGCCGAGGCCGTCTTCGTTTAGCACATCGGGCCTATGATCTAAGAACAGTGCTTCTGTTATGGGATCTAAGAACATGTCGTGGTAGGCCTATAGCAATGCCGGGACGGTCGGTCCCCGCTCAAGGTTCGACGAGTTCGACGACGGGAACGGCAAGTTGACGTTCGAAGAGGTCCACCAGGCCGTGCAGCACAACCCCGAGGCTCGAAGGTCAAAAATTGGCACAAACAAAATTCTGGAGCTCCGCACAGCTTTCATGTATCTGTACTGGACCTCCCTGGCGGCGCTTCTGGCTCCGAACCTGGTGCGCTCAGCGCGCCAGGGAGGGGGGTCCAGCGTAGATCCAAGAAATCCGCGCGGAGCTCCGAAAGTTGCCGTTCATGTTGTTTTTGTCTGTTGTTCTAGAGGCTGTGCGCCGGCTGCCGGCAGCGCTCCACGGCTTGTTGATCGACGACTTGGTCAGGGCCGCGTTCTCGTCGAACAAGTTCGACGTGGACGGCAGCGGCGACCTGGACAGGGACGAGTGGAACAAGTTCCTGGACCAGCTCGAGGTCTTCTACCTCAAGTACCGCAGGGAGCTGTCTTTCCAGTGCGAGCGGACATTCTACGGCAGGGGCTGGACGGACTACCTGGAGGAGCTCGGCGAGGAAGCAGCGGCATCCACAGGCCTTTGTCGGAGCTCCGCGCGGACTTTCCTGCATCGGCGAGGGGCCCCACCCCTGGCGGCGCCTCCAGCGCCGATCCGAGAAAGCCGCGAGGCCCGCCGACAGGCTGGCGTATGTTCGGGCGACGAGAACTATGCACATGCACCGATCCTGGCAACGCCGATCCTTGACCCAGGATCGGTGCATATGCCTTCCTGGCCAAGGTAGGAGGGCGTATGCACCGATCCTGGGCTCAGGATGGGCCTGGCCAGAATCGGTGTATGTGCATAGTTCTTTTTCCTCTACTATGTGTGCAGGGTTTGGTGCGCCTGCGCAGGAGCTGGACCTGGAGTCCGAGGACAGCGAGGCGGCGTCAGAGGAGGCGGAGGAGCCGGTCGACCCCGCCGAGTTCGAGGTGTACCTCCTGCGCAGGATCGCGGACATGGCCCCAGCGAAGGAGCGTCCGTGGCAGCAGTGGGGCCTCGACAAGGACTGCAAGGCCGGCTGGATCCTGCCGCCAGGCTTCAGGAGGGAACAAAAACACACACAGACACAATTAATCGTCGATCCCCAGGAAAATATGCGAAAATAGGGGAAGTGGGGGGGAAGACAAAAGCCCAGAAAATATGGGAAAATATGGGGGCACTTTTTACTTGTGTGTATCTATTTGTGTGTCCTGGGGCCCCTTGAAGGCTGGTGGGAGGACTTCGTCTACTACAGCGCCAATCTCGGAGGAGGGCCCGTCGAGACGGCGGCAGCCTTCCTTGGGCGTCTTCTGTCGCCTCTTGTGGGCCCTCTCGGCGCTTCTCGTCGCCGCAGCCGGGTCCGCCTCGAAACAGGGAGGGGGAGGAGGAGGAGGAGGAGGAGGAGGAGGACGTGGGGGAGGAGGAGGAGGAGGAGGAGGAGGAGGAGGAGGGGTCAGGATGGATCCCCGAAGGGGTCCAGGGAGCGATGTTCTACGAGTTTGGGGCCGGGCGGGAACGCCGCCATGGTCTCAACTCGCCCGTCTCCGACGATCACCACCCGCTCCACGGCATCATCTCGTGCGACCCGGACCACCGGCTGAGTAGCATGGAGCGCGTGTTCATGGAGCTCGCCACCATCGGTTTCCTGTTCATCGCCGCGGACCTCAAGGTCGTCGTTCTCTTTTGCATTGTTGTGCCGATCGGCGCGGGCCCTCGCACCCCCCCTCCTGCCGAACCCCCCCATGGAGTAGATCTTGGCTCTTTTTTGGCGCCTGTGTTGATTGTGTAGGCTCCCTAGGAAGCAGAGGCCCGGAGCCAGACCGCCCCCCCTGCCCCCCCCCTTCCGCCCGATGCCGAACATGCAAGGCGAAGCTCAGGAGGGAGGACGAGGGCGGCAACCTCGACGAGAGCGACCTCGTGAAGCACTTGCTGAACGCCCTGATCTCGCTGGCCGGCATCTTCGTCTACTACGTCATGTACCTGCTCTTCTCGGCGGCGAGCCCGGGGGGGAAGGCGAGAAGGGGCGTGCCTCCTCGGAAGGCGAAGGCGCGGAGGTCCCCCCGTCTCCTGAGCAGTTTCCTAAGCTTAAGTCGGGCCTGTCCGTCTGCAGGAGGAATATCCAGAAATAGTTCAAACATAGTATGGGAACCATTGTTTGATCATTTGGGAGTTTGATTGAATATTTGTTGAATCTTTGAATTTTTCCATCCGCAAACCCGCTGCAGGGGGACACGCCGTCTTCTCAGAAGGCCTTCTCCGACCCCCGACGTCGTGATTTTTTCAAAACGTCGACCCCCAAAAGTCTGGACCCCTTCCCAGGTACCGGTTCTTCATCCTGAGTCGTGTTTTGACGGTCCCGAGGCCCGGGAAGGGCCCCCCGGGAGGCCGAACATGGCGAAACGCCTCCCGTCAGGGTTTTTGCCACAGCGCGAGGGGGTCTTGGTCATCTGTCGCTTCCTTCTCGCTTCCCCCCCTCGCTCGCCGCCGCTCTTCACCTGCCCGAAGCTGGGCTTCGTGGACCGCTCCAGGGCCAGCGAGGACGAGGCGAGGCGGGCCGAGCGCTGCGACTCGCTCGGGTCTGGGATAGGCTATACTCGGGGAGACGTAAGACCTCCTCCTCCTCCTCCTGCCTCCGTGCTCCCTGCCCCTTCGCGGTCCCAAAGGCTCCTCCTCCCCCCCTCAGCAAGGGCTCCCACGAGGGCGCGAAGTTATTCGCGCTTCGCGCTTCGCGGTCCTCGTTCCTTCTCCCCCTCCTCCTCGTCCTCCTTTTCTCCCTTTGGGGGGGCGGCGCGAGGGCGCGAAGTTATTCGCGCTTCGCGCTTCGCGGAGCGCGAAGCGCGAAGTTGGGAGCCCTAGCTCAGCCGGAACTCGGGCTTGTCGGCACTTGTTGACGACCACGTCTTGGATCTTGGGGGTCCGGTGCTCGTGGGATGTTTGCAGCGGGAGCTCGCGTCAGGCTTCCGATGGGGATGAGGCCAAATCCGTTCAACATCGGTCCTTGGATTCCTCCGGGAGTCGATCTGGCGCAATTCATGGTCCTGCCGCCTTCTGGAGGCCCCAACAGGCAGAACACCGTCCCGAGCCCAGCGCATCGAAGCTCGAGTGCGAAGGAACACGGGCTTGCCGTCGTTTTTTGACGAGCGCGTCTTGGATTTTGAAGGTCCAGTTCTCGTGGGTTGTTTGCAGCGGGAGCTCGCGTCAGAGTGTAGATCGGGTCTCGCCATTTTTTCCGGTGGCCCCATCAGGCCAACCCGGGTCCCCCGCAATTGCCCGAGCCTTACGTCTCCCCGATATACGCTGATGGCATTCCTTGGGGTCACCCTGCTCATCAATCTCGAAGAAGAACCGCCGCCACAAACATAAGCTCTTGGCGCTCCGCGCGGATCTCTTCGATCCGCGTTGCCCCTCCCCCAGCGGCCTCCTCGGGCGCCCTCCCCGGCCCGCTCCGCGCGCCAGGGAAGGGGGGTCCAGTGCAGATCCACGAAATCTGCGCGGAGCGCCAATAGTTTGGGCTTCTGGCGTGTCCTCTTCTTCTACAATCTCCCCATGCTCCAGGAACGCTGGAGGCCAGTAATGTCAAGCCGACTGCAGGGATACCTCTTCACATGGGTGTGGGCCGTCATGTTCCCGTTCAATCCCCTCTTCGCTTGGGGCAATAACTCGTCCGACCCGGAGATGATCGACAAGTTCTGCATCGGCGATTGGTTGGGCATAGGCCAGTGGCGCATCGAGAAGCAGCGCTTCCAGGGGCAGTGCCTGAGGCTCAAGGACCACAACCTGGAGGACCCGACCTTCGACGATGTTGAAATACCGGGGGAAGTTGTTGTTTCGCTTTCAAGACCTATGTTTCCCCCGTTTTGGTTTCCGTTTGTTTCCAGTTTGTGATTCGTTCGCGCCGTTTTGGGTTTGATTCCGCGATGCACATTGGGGTTGCCGTTTTGTTTTCTGTGTGGTTGGCCGAGAACCGAAATATTGAGCATGAGAGAATCCCTGGCGTTTTCGCTGTCTACTGTAACCTTGGGAACCAAGTAGCGATCCCCCCGTCATCTCCACCACTCAAAATAAGGAGTAAATTCCGGAGGAGGTGCGGGAACCGCCGAGCGACATCGTTGGCACCCAAATCGTTAGTTAGCACCCGAACGGCGACATCGTTTGCTTGGCACTGCTCGGACGTGTGCGCCCTGTTCTCAGCGAGGCCCGCGCCGGGGCGCCTGGACCCTCAAGGTGCGCCTTGGGGACCCGCGCCTCGAAGCACGAAACAGCACGAGCAACACGCGCAGAACGCGTGCAGGTGGGCACGGGAGGGGCACGCCGGAGCCACGGCAAGCCTGAGGACCTGACTCTGGCGACCGGGGTCTTCTCCCCGCTGTCCTCGCCGTCGCGGCGGCGGCGCGCCACCCTCGGCGACCTCGGCCCCGCCTCGCCCGCCCGGGCGGCGCGCCCCCGGGAGCTGGAGGCGGCCCGCGGCGTGCGGCGCGGCGCCCGGCCGGAGCGCTGCGGCGCCCGCGCGCGGCGGCGGGGGCCGCGGCCGCCGCCCCCGGACGTGGAGTGGCAGAAGCCCCGGGACGGGGAGGCCCAGAGGGAGGAGGGGGAGGAAGGGGGGGGGAGGAGGCCTGAGGAGGAGGAGGGGGGAGAAGGCCTGAGGAGGAGGAGGAGGAGACCTAAGGAGGAGGAGACCTGAGGAGGAGGAGGAGAGAGGAGGAGGAGGAGGTACCCTCGGGCCCTCGGGCACGCGCACTAGGGGGGGTGGTAGGTCTAGGCCTCCTAGGTGGGGTCCGAGGAGATGGGGTCGGAGGGTCGCGCCGCAGCGCCGATGCATCGGCGATGCGGCTCGATGTGGAGCCTGATTTTCTCCACGTCGGCGTCGCCAATGCATCGCCGACGTCGCCGATGCATCGGCGATGCATCGGCGATACATCGTCGATGCATTGGCGATGCGGCGCGGTCCTTCGACCCGATCTACTCGACCCCATCTAGGATGCCTCTAGTAAGGGGGGGGGGGAAGGCATCCCAGAAGGAGGCTGCTTCTGAGAAGGCGCGGGCCGTCTCTATATCGGTGTCAGGCCCGCGCCTTCTATGAAGCAGCCTTCTTCTGAGAGAACCATTCTCGCCTCGCCCTACCCCCATGTGTGCGCACCGACAATACGGAGAGGAGGGACGAGGTTCGAGGCTCGAGGTGTTCGGGCGTTTTCGTCGGCTCTCGGCGGCGTTCCAGCCTCGGGCCTCGGGATGCTTGCCAGCAGCTGCGCCTCGCCGAGAGCGTTACGGGTGAGTGTGGACTGTCCCGAGCTGGCGTCGGAGACCCGAGGTACGACGCGGAAACCTTGGGGGGAGGGGGCACCGCTGCCGCTGCCCCTGCCCCGCGTTCGCCCTGTGGTGCCTCCCGGGAGCCCCGCGTCGCCACGGCTGCGTTCGCCTCGAGAGCCTGGTCAGCAAGCGCCCTGGGAGAGGCCACAGCAGCGCGTCAAGCTGCACAGTTATTCTGACGATCGGACCCCACATGGTAAGGTCAAACCAATATGGAAGTTTTCCTCATCTTCGTCCTGGTGACTACGGCGGCCCTCTTCCCGTCTGGTATCTGGCCCTTGCCGACGGTTGCAGCCTCGACCGAGGGCTGCGCCTCAGACTACGAAGGACGCTCGACCAGGGAACGAGGCTCCCGCTGGAGACTTTCTCAAGAGCAGACTTCCACGTGTCGCCGAACCTCCGAACCTGTGCATTTACAGGAGGCCCCGATCCCGCTCGAGGCTTCCTCGCGAGTCGTTGACAGACGAGGCTCCCGCTCGAGGTGCCTTTTCCACTTGCTCGAGAGAGAGGCTCCCACTCTAGACTTCCTCTGGAGTGAAGCTCCCAGGAATCACCAAACCATTATTTTTTCCATGGTTTCCCGACGGCCGCCTCGGAGTCGAACATGGAAGTGAGGACTCCATCGGGAGGGGCTCCCGTTTGAGATTTCCTTGCGATTCGCTTACAGACGAGTGAGCGCCCGAGACACCCTCTCAGCTTGCTCAGGAACGACGCTCCCGCTCGAGACGTCCTTGGGATGCAGGCTCCCGGGTGTTACCAAAGTATGGGTTGTTATTGCGCATTCCCATGGCCGCCTCGGATTACCACCAGTAGGTCGGGTCCCCACAGGAAGGTGTTCCCGCTCGAAATTTCCTTGCGACTCACGTGCAGGCGAGTGAGCTCCCGAGGCATCCTTTGAGTTTGGTCAGGAACATGGCTCCCGCTCGAGACTTCCTAGGGATTTAGGGTTTTCACGTGATGTTCCGATGGTTGCCTCGGATTCGAACATGGGGGTGGGGACCCCAATAGGGAGGGGCTCCCGTTCAAGTTTTTTTCGCGGTTCACTTACAGGCCAGTGAGCACCCGATGCATCTTCTCAGTTTGTTCAGGAACGAGGCTCTCGCTGGAGACTTCCTCGGGATTCGTGCCCCCAGGTATTTCCAGACCTGAGTTTGCACAGGGTTTTCCGATGCCCGCCTCGGATTATCAAGATGATCCGCGGCCCCCATAGGGAGGGAGCTCCCGCTCGAGACATCCCCGCAATTCATTCACACACGAGGCTCCCGCTGGAGACTTCCTTTGGATTCAGGCTCCCATGTGTCATCAAACATGTGTTTGCACGGTTTCTCCGATGGCCGCCTCGGATAACCAACACAAACCTGCGGCCCCATAGGATGGGGGCTCCAGCTCGAGATATCCTCGCAATTCGCCTGCAGGCGAGGCTCCCGCTGGAGACTCCCTCGGGATTCAGGCTGTCGGGTATCACCGAACTTGGGCTGTTGCTGCCAGGGGTTTCCGATGGCCGCCTCGGCTTGCCAGCGTGATCCGGGGGCCCCATGTGGAGGGGACCTCAATTTGTGACTTCCTACAGTCGGCCCGGATTTGTAGGGCGACCCTGTCGGCTCAAGGGTACCCTTGTGTCCTGTGCCTCGCGGCACGTGCCTTCTTACACTCCTATGGCGATGTGGCCCTCGGAAGGGCCCTGCGTCCTCTCGCGTGTCCTGTCCAATCAAACCCGACTGTATCATCTCAGGTCACCCACACACGAGGCACCCGCTCGAGACTGCCTCGGGATCCAGGCTCCCAGGTGTCACCAAAACTGTGTTAAACGAAACAGGTATCCCGATGGCCGGCTCGGACGACCAACATCAATTGCGGGCCCCATGAGGAGAGGGCTCTCGCTCGAGCGTTACTCACAATTCTCGCAGCGACGAGGCTCCTGCTCGAGATCCTCAAGGTGAGTGCGCGAGTGTGAGAGTGCGTGTGATCCGGGATGATGATCGTGATCATGATAACGACAATGGTACTGGCAATGACAAGTATGATGATGTTGCTGCTGCTGATGATGATGATGGCGCGGGTAATGATGCTGATTCTGATGATGATGATGATGACACTGATGACGTTGATGATGATGATGATGATGATGATGATGATGATGATGATGATGATGATGATGATGATGATGATGATGGTGATGGTGATGGTGATGGTGATGGTGATGGTGATGGTGATGGTGATGATGACAATGATGATTGTGATGATGACAATGATGATGATTATGATCATGATTATGCCGATGGTGATG